ATAAATGAGTAAATATATTTCCTGTATGTTTAGAGGGACACAAATCTGGAATTGAAATTCAAGTCTTTTTTTTTTTTTCATTGAATTTATTGGGACTTTTTAGGTATGAAGTGCAGTAACATTCATCATTGGGATCTTGTACCTTTGCATGACAGGTCTTGGTTCTCATTTTTTCCCCATAGCCCTGCCCTCCCTTCAACCCCTCCACTCTTCCCTATTTACAAAGATTTTGCTTACATTTTTTCATTTTCTCATATTTTTTCTTTTCCATTCTTTCCTTTCCCCTACCCTTCCCACTTTCCCTACACCTTTAGCCCTTATCTTCCATTTCACATTATCACTTATACAATTTGGATCTTATTTACACATTTAGTTTTTCACACCAGAGAAACTATTTGGTATTTACACGTGTGTCCTATTTATTTCACTTAAGAGTATGGCCTCAATATGCATCCATTTCCTATGAATGATTCTAGTTTCTCATTCTTTATGGCTGAGTAGTGTAACATTTTATAGAAACATCACATCTTCTTTATCCACACTCCAATAGATGGGCAATTGGGCTGTTTCCAAATTTTAGCTATTACAAACTGTGCCACTAGAAACAGGGGTGTGCATATATTGTGGAAAGATAGTCAGCAGAGAGATAGATGGGTCAATGGAACCTCAAATCATGTTTTTTTGAGATATCTCCACACTGATTTCCACAGTGATTGCACCAGTCTGCAATCCAAGCAACAATGAAGCAGGGTTCCTTTCTCGCCATAAACCTGCTAACATTTGCTATTGGTTGATTTCTTGATAGCAGCCATTTTTTGTGGGGTGAGGAGGAATCTCAGTGTTGCTTTCATCTGCATTTCTTGAATGACCAGTGATGTGGAACATATTTTCATATATTTATTTGCTGATTTTACTTCTTTGTCTGAGAAATGTCTGCTCATTTCACATGACCATTTTTGAATCGGGTCTTTATATTTGGGCAGCCTGAACTTTTTTGAGTTCTTTATATATTTTGGTAATAGTCCTTGGTCTGTGGAGAAGCTGGTGAAAATGTTTTTCCACATTGTAGGTTGTCTCTTAGCTCTGTTGGTGGTTTTTCTTGCAATGCAGAAGCTTTTTAATAAGATGATATCCCAGTTGTTGATTCTTTGTGCTGGTTCCCTGGCAACAGAGAATTTGTTCAAAAATGCCAATGTCTTTTGAGAGTTCTACCTAACTTATCTTCCAGAAAGTTGTGTTTCTGTTTTACTATTTAGATCTTTACACCACTTGGATTTTAGTTTACTTCATGCTGAGAGACAAGGGTCTAGTTTGAATCTTTGGCAGGTAGAAATCCAGTTTTTCCAACACCATTTGTTAAAGAGGCTGTATTTCCTCCATTTAGGATCATTGGCTCCTTTGTCAAAGATGAGGTAGTTGAGTGCATCTGGAGTTCTTTCTGTATTTTCCAATCTATTCCACTGATCCTCAGGTCTGTTTCTTTGCCAGTACCATGCTGTTTTATCACAGTGGCTTTGTACTATAGTTTCAAGATGGGGATTGTGATACCCCCATCATGTCTCTGTTGTCTAGATTTGCTTTTGCTATTTGAAGTCTCTTGTTCCAAATGAATTTGTGGATTGTTTTCTCTAGTTCTGTGAAATATACTGTTGGAATTTCAATCAGGATTGCATTGAATCTTTATAGCAGTTTTGGTCATATGGACATTTTTACTATGTTGATTCCTCCTACCCAGAAGCAAGGATATCTTTCCATTTTCTTATATCCTCTTCAATGTCTTGTTTCAATGTACTTTGCTTCCTTCATTAGATTAGTTCCTAGATATTTCATATTTTTTGGATGCTATTGTGAAGGGAATTATTTCCCTAATTTCTCTCTCAGTGAGACTGTTATTTGTGTACAAGAAGGCTGTTGATTTTTTGAACATTGACCTTGTAACCAGCAACTTTGCTGAAAGTGTCCATTAAGTCTAGAGTCTTTTGGCAGAGTTTTTCGGGTCTTCTATGTAGAGTATCATATCCTCAGCAAATAATGACAATTTAACTTCTTCCTTTCCTATCTTTATTGCTTTAATTTATCTTGTCTAATTGCTGTAGCTAATGTTTCCAGAACTATATTGACGAAGAGTATTGGTAGTGGACATCCTTGTCTTGTTCCTGAGTTTAGCGTCAAGGTTTTCAGTTTTAATATGATGTTGGCTGTTGGTTTTTCATAGGTAGCCTTTTTCAACTTGAGATAAAGACCAACTTGCCAGTTTTCTGCAGGGTTTTTATCATGAATGGCTGCTGAATTTTGTTGAATGCTTTTTCTGCATCTATTATGATCATCATATGGTTTTTGTCCTTGACTCTGTTAATATGGCATATTATATTTATTAATTTACATATGTTGAACAATCCTTGAATCCCTGAAATAAAACTGATTTGGTCAGGTTATATGATGTTCTTGATGACCCTCTGTATTCTATGTGCCATTATCTTATTGAGGATTTTTGCATCTATGTTTATTAGGAAGATTGGCCTATAGTTCTCTGTTTTGGTTGGGTCTTTCCCTGGCTTGAGCATAGTAACACTTGAATCCAGGAATGGATTTGGAACTGCTGCTTCCCTTTCAATTTCACTGAAAAGTTTCATTGAAGAGTAGTGGTGATAGTTCTTCTCTAAATATCTTGTAGAATTCAGCAGTGAAGCCATCAGGACCTGGGCTTTTTCTTGGTAGATTTTTAATTACATTTCAATTTCACTGATTGTAATTGGGGTGTTTAGAATTTTTGTATCTTCTTCATTCAACTTTAGTAATTCATAAGTATCTAGAAATCTTTCCATTTCTTCTGTGTTTTTCATTTTATTAGAGTACAGATTCTCAAAGTAGGTATTGATGATCCTCTTGATTTGGGCTGGATCTTTTGTGACTTCACCTTTTTCATTCCTTATTGCATGGATTTGAGCCTTTTTTTTTCCTTTTTTTTTGATAAGGTTGGCTAAGGATTTATCGATTTTTATTTTTTAAAAAAGCTCTTTGATTAATTGATTTTTTTGTATCATTCTCTTAATCTCAATTACATTAATTTCTGCTCTGATCTTTATAATTTCCTCCCTTGTATGAGCTTTGGGTTTGTCCTGCTCTTCTTTTTCTAGGAGCTTAAGATTCTGCATTAGGTTGTTTATTTGAGCTCACTCTCTTTTCCTAGTGTGGGCATTCACTGCTATAAATTTATCTCGTAGAACTGTTTTATTGTGCCCCATAGATTCCTGTATGTTGTATTGGCATCACCATGCATTTGTAAAAAGTGTCTAATTTCTTCTTTAATTGACTCTGTGACCCATTGGTTATTCAGGAGAGTGTTGTTCAATTTCCATGTGTTTGTGAAGTTCTTGTGGTTTCTTATGCTATTAAAGTTCAGTTTATTTGCACTATGGTCTGCTAATATACACAGGATAACTTCAATTCCTTTGCATTTAAACATGTTCTATGAGCTATTATGTGGTCTCTTTTGGAGAATGACCCCTGTTCAGGTGAAAAGAATGTATATTCTGATTTTATGGGTAGAACACTCTTGACATGTATTAAATTCATTCATTTGTTCAAAAGCTTCATTCAGTTCTAGCATTTCATTGTTGATTTTTTTTTGTCTAGGTGATACCTCATATGTATTGATTTATCATCATCATGTTGTTATCCTGTTGTTAGCTGTTTTTTTATCCCCCCCCCTTTAGTTTCTTGCCTTGACTAATTGATTTGCTCTGTTGGCCTCATGGTGTTGTGAACTTCATTGTATTTTTCTAGGATATTGTTTAGAATTGTTTGGAGTGTTGGTTTGGTGTTCATGTAGTTTCTTAGGTGTTCTTTGTCATGGAAGTATGTTATTTCCTCATCCATTTTAAAGGAGAGTATTGCAGGATTCCTCTGTCTAGGTTAGAGGTTGTTTTCTTTTAGGGCTTGGAATACCTCACTCCAGGCTCTCCTTGACCTGAGTGTTTGTGTTGAAAAGTTTGTTGTGATTCTAATGAGCTTTCCTTTGCATGTGATTTGTTTCTTTCTCAAACTTCTTTCAGTTTTTTGTTCTTCTGTTGTGTTTCTGGAATCTTGACTATTATATGTCTAAGTGTAGATTTTTTTTTTTTAATCATTGCTAGTTGGAGTCCTATATGCCTCACTTATCTGTATGTCATTCTTTTCCCCTGTTAGGGAAGTTTTCTGTTATTAATTCTATGAGCATGATTTTTTATGACATTTGTACTTTCTCCTTTTTCATGTACTCCTACCATTCTTATATTATTCTTTTTTGCATCATCTAGGAGTTGTTGGATCAATTTCTCATGATCCTTTATTGTTTTGAAGAGATCTCTGTTTTCATGGTCACTGACCACAATCCTATCTTCTATATCTGAAATTCTATCTTCACATTTAATCTGCTGCAAATTATTTCTATAGATGGATTCCATTTCTTTCCTATGTTGGTTATTTATGGTTTCTATCTCTTTCTTATGCTTGACATAAGATGGCTTCTATCATGATCCTGAACTCATCTATTTTTTTGTCTGTTTCTGTTCTAGAGTCTAATCTTGTCTTTCATTGTGCTCACCAACTCTGTAGTTATCTGTGAAATTATTCTGTTTTGAATTTTTCTAGAGCCTCATTAATCTGTTTTGTTACTTCCTGTGTTATGAGTTCAGGGTATCCTGGTGTTGATTGTCAGGCTTTTCCACCTTGTTTCCCCTAGAACTTGCTGTTGGTGAACTGGAAGTCTGTATTTATGCCTTTCTTAAGTGTTTTCTCATTTTTATTTTTCTTGTTGGTGCTGTCCTTGGTTTAATTCGTGGGTTACCACTTCGATCTTCCTGTTATAGATGCTCTTTAGGTTTTGAGTCTCTAATGACTCAGAGACACCCTTATTTTCATAAGATCAGGTAGGAAACAGATTAAATCAGTCACAACTCTTTAGCTCAGTTGATACAATCAGCAACAAAATAGCATCCAGCACAGCTTAGAAATTGACAAAATATATGGAACAATTCATGAATTTGTATGTCATCTGTGCGCAGGGGCCATTCTAATCTTCTCTGTATCATTCTAATGTTAGTATAGTGCTGCTGAAGCAAGCACTGAAATTCAAGTGTTTAACTTCTTTAGTTATTATTTTTTCCACTATATCATCCTGCTTTACAACTTTTTGGCAAGTATTGGCATTGATATACTTCATTAAATATAGATAAAACCAAACTATTTCTTAGAACTTTAAAATCTGTTCACACAAGTCTAGACATCACCATTTACTACTCATTTCACATTCTTTCCTGCTCATAAATTAATAGATTCTTCAAGATACATTGCTTCCTTGCAACAGTATTCACATTTTGCAATGCTCACATCTGTTGGCTGAAAATATCTCAAATACTCATGAGGACAATGATTAGTTGTATTACTAAAAGTGTTTACCGGAGCATGATGTACTCCACAGAATACAAGAAAGTCACAAACAGTACAAGTTTATGTCTGAAATTTTAGAAGCCCTATAATTTTTCCAAAGCATTATTCTAAATAACGTATAATAGGTTATCATCATAAAAAGAAATTAAAGTATTATGCAGTCATTTCTTTTGTTTGTATTGATTTTTTCTATATATTGTCTTTGTGTCGAAATTTCATTGTCTCAATTTACTGAGTTCCTTATACTTCCAAGTACTATACTGAGCTCAGGCTCTTTTATAGACTCTGAAATGAATCCTTGAGTCAAATATTTACTGATAGCATTGTTGAGACAAGTATATGTGATTGAACTGTTGCACAGTTTGTTGTGCTGTTGTGCCTCTTTTATTTACTAAGTAAAAAACAAGTTAGAGAGACTCATTCTCTGCTCTCTAATCATTTAGCAAGTGTCTTCATCCATTTATACCGCTCTAACCAAAGAGTATAAACTTGGATATATTATAAACAAAAGAAATTTATTTGTCACTATTCTGAAGGCTGGGAAGTCCAAGAGCAAAGCACTGCAAATTTGGTGTCAGGTGAGCTTCTGCTTTGTTGAATATAAAGGTCATCTTCTTGATGTGTATTCATATGATGAAAAGGACTGGCTATCTCTTATTGACAGGATCGTTAAGGCACCAATCCCAAATAAGAGAGCTATACCCTCGTGATCCAATTGCTTTCCAAAGAGCCTACTCCTAATATCATCACCTGGAGTTTTAGGATTTCAACATAGGAATTTTAAGGGGACACAAACATTCATGCCATAGCCTCACTGTTTTAATTACATAATAAAAATTCTCCTAATAAATCTATAGTTAACTTTTTCTTAAAACAAAACTGTGATGTTTATAACTTAATGAAAGTTTGTAGTTAATAGGCTGTACTTATTGATACTGTATAATAGGAGTTGAATTCTTGTATGAAAAATATAGTTCTTCCTGTCGAGACTGTGATCCAGAGAACAACAGAAGCCACAACTGAAAGTTGGTTAAAAATTTCAGACCACCATGACAGACCTACTGAATCAGAATGCACATTTTAACAACATCTACTAACAGCTCCTATGCACACTTAAATTTAAGAAAAAGTGCTTTAGTACAAACAATTACATCCCTAGCTGGATCGTATATTTACAAAATATCAGTTGCATTTCCTCCCATATGCACAAATATTTATAGCAGTTTGCATATTTGCATGTTGTTGTAATGCAAGAGAATGAAATGATTAAAAAATAATTTTAGATTTTTTATGTGGTAAGTTGAATATTTTGTCCATATTGAATCAATACTATAATTTTCACTACATTAGTTTTAAGTAGAAAAACTATCAAACTCCAGGGGTTATTATAAAATTTATATCGCTTCCTATGTGGCTGTAAATCAACACATTAATTTAAATATACCAAAATATGAAACCATAGATGGTTTCCAAAACACAATTTGATAGTAATTGACTTACTCAAAATGATTGGTAGTAGTGTATTCTATGTTTTCTTTAAGGCATTTAGTGGAACGAGATCTTAGGAAAGCTATGGGCTATTTCATCTTGCTTTTATAATTTTCCACACAAACATAGTAAGAAATAAATTTTTATTAAGTAGAGATTTAAAATTGATATAAACTGATGGAAAGAGGATCTGCTCAATCCTTTATAACTTGTTTTTTCAACAAATACATTTGGAGAATCTGCAGACATTAATAAGCACTGAAGAAGCAGTATGAAAAAGATAAAATACCTTCCCGGAGGTTCTCATCTGCTGGGTAGACATAGCCTAGTCAAGTTGCTTGCTTCACTAAAGTCGGAATTTCACCTTCATAGACAAAGTCTCATCTACCACACAGGGTTTTGTTAAAAGGTAAATGGAATTCTTTTAAGTACCTATAAATTAAATAAATCTAATACCCTTCCTTTACCTTGTGTCCAACACACAACAGAAATCACTGAAGTCTCTTGAACAGAGGATTTCTATGAAGAAAGATTTCCTTGGGAAAATCAACTTAGTTTGGAGAACATTTAGTCTAATTAAATGTAATAATTAGTGCCTTGTACTTGAGAGATATAGGAGGCCCTTTTCCAGACAGACTGAGAAATTTTCCTGACCAAACTTTTTGCTTCATCCTTAAGCTTTAGCCTCCATTCCATTCCTCCTAGCTGTCCGCTCCAATCAGCTACATAACTTTATTTATGACATGCAAACAAAAAGTAAATGACATCTCAAGTATATTTTGCACCTGAAAAGATATGCAATTCATATCTTCGTTGTGACTTTGAGAAAATGTTTTCTTAAATTTAAATAGGTTACATGGTAACAGTCTAGAAATTTGTAACCATAACTTTTGAACAAAGCTTGCTCTTTCATGGAAAATCTGTAGTCCACGTGGATGCTTACCCCATCCAGTATATTCAGTGCCGCTATGTACATCCCACCCTCCACCATATGCTCCCTTGTGCTGTTATTTCTACAGTGTCTTTCTACAGTCTCTTTCACTAATTCTTGTCTCTGCTTAAGGCTTCTCTTAATAGAGTTCATCCAGTCTTTGTAATAATGATCTTGTTCTATATATGGCTAATAGAAAAGCAATATATTTCTTTCAATTAAACCATTTTATATTTCTCTGATTCTATGATACACAAAATATAAAGATTGAAATTTTCTTTTTTCTTACTAACCACATATTTTTCTTGTAAAGAGCAATTTGATCACATTGGGTGTGGCAATAACAAGTAACATGAATATATAATTATAAAGATTTTATTTTCAAAAATTCACTAAATTTTATATTTTACATTTCTACATTAAAAATCATTTAATGTCACTAAATTGCACAACTATGAATTTCAGAAAATGACTGGAGCTTGAAACTCTGCTTTTTCACCTATAAGTTCAGTAATCTTACTTATACTGAGTATCAATTTCATCATTTTAAAAGGAAGGTTTTTTTTTTTTGCAAAAGTACAAAATTGTTACCAAAATCTAATGTAAAAGCAAATACTACAGAGCCCATCCAGACAATGCAAAAAATCCTAGCAACAAGAGGTGACCAGTAACAAGTGGAGCCCCTTGAAGCTGAGCTGCTATACCACCCCCACACCTCCAAACAAAACTGATAAATTCTTCTGAAAAGAACTGATGTATTTCCGTTGCACATTATTGTGTACTAGCATTTAAATTGTGCCACTTACCTATATCTTTGGTTATGCTTTGCTCCTGCTCCCTGAGTAAATGACCTTTTCATGTGTTATGAAATACTTAATCGTTTTTATATAAAATAAATACATGTGACTAAAGAAAATATTGTACATTCCAGCTACAGACTGGATATGTGGTTAGTATTAGACTCCATTCTGTAGTAATCAAAAGGATCTGAGAATGGGTCAACTGAAAGCAGCACTGCCTTTGTGATGTATTAATTACAATCAAGTCAAATTTTCAATGTTTGTCGAGGTGCTACACAAGGAACACAACCAATGTGTTTGGGGAATGCTTGTTTGACAGACCTGGCTAAAATAACAGAATATGATGAATATATAATTATAAAGATTTTATTTGGTTATGCTTTGCTCCTGCTCCCTGAGTAAATGACCTTTTCATGTGTTATGAAATACTTAATCGTTTTTATATAAAATAAATACATGTGACTAAAGAAAATATTGTACATTTATACATTAAAACTAAAAGCTTATTTTCTGCTTCAATTCTCATGATTTCAAAAACTGTCTCACAATGATTATTTCTGAGAATATTTAAAAATTCATAAATAAAATTATCCTTTGTGTTCAAGATTTTTTTAAAGTCTGGAACAAATGAATTCAACTTATATATCTGTCACCAGAGTGTCCCACTAATGATATTATTATTTTATTATTATGATGAAGAGAAAAAAAATCACTTAAGCTTTTCATAAGTCAGCAAAATGGCAATATTGGTGACTACTACACAGAAGTATCAAAGATAAAATGTAACTCTATGTACAATGTTGGTTGCAAGTAAACAATGCATATTGTTGTGACTTTACCTATTCTTTTATAATTGTTAAACATTTAATATCCACATTTCTTTTACTTTGGTCTAATCACTTTGAAGAAGAAAGAATAAGATATTGTAGATTTCCATTGTGCTCTCTGCTTTCTTCATCTATTCATATTTCCTTCTTTATTCATTTATAAAATCTTTGTGCACCTGTTAAAACAGTTAGCACTGTATTTGTTGTCATCTGCCACATTATAAAAGAGACATTTAAATAAAAATAAAAAATAAAAGAGACATTTTGCTCCAATATATTGCTTCAACATTAGCAAAATTAAATCAGGAAGACAAACGCATTGCCTACTTCTCTGTGAACACACATCCTACTACAAAGTTTAGAATGAATTTAATACACTGAATCTTTATGCAATATGAATGTATTTGCTCTAAGAAACTTGTGTTCTTCTAACTCAGAAAACCCAGAAGCAATTACTACATGGATAGGATTTGGCACAGGTGGTAACAAAATTCAGAACAAATATTACTGACAGTTAAAATTCTCCATAGTTCCTGAGGTAGGGCCAACTATTGACAAAATGCATCATAACCAACTACTCTGATTTAAATTAGAATTTCATCACAATTATTTTGCAATTAAAATTAATA